AAACAGTTATATTTATCGAATCCGCTATTTATCATCCGCTACCCACTTTTCGCTATCCGTCATCCGCTATCCGCTAACCGCCATCCGCTATCCGCCATCCGCTATCCACTAACCGCTACCCGCTACCCGCTATCTGTTGAATTTTAACTGTTGTTCCAAACAGACCCTTAGTTTGATAATATTGGCAGATTTTTTTAATTTTTTAACACTTTAAAAATATGTAAAATATATTTTATATTTATTTTAATTAATATTTTATTTTAAAATAATAAAAAATATAAAATTAAAAAATATTATCAAACAAAACCGAGTAGTGTTTAACTCTCCACTCATCTATTTTTTTATTTTTTTTATTTCCCCCAATTAACGCTAAAGCACATGGATGACAGCGTCATTGGGGTACGGTAAAATAGACTAATGAAAAAAAAAGGACCATAATTGGACTCCCACATGACGACAGCATTCCTGTCTCTTCTAAGGTCTTTCCGTCTTTGGAAAGCTATTGTCTATGTCCACTAGTGTTAATTTACTTTCCCCCAATTACGCTAAATGACAGCGTCATTGGGTCCGGTAAAATAGACTAATTAAAAAAAAAAGGACCATAGTTGGACTTCCACATGGACGACAGCATTCCTGTCTCTTCTAAGGTCTTTCCGTCTTTGGAAAGCTATAGTCTATGTCCACTAGTGATGATTTACTTTCCCCCAATTACGCTAAATGACAGCGTCATTGGGTCCGGTAAAATAGACTAATTAAAAAAAAAGGACCATAGTTGGACTTCCACATGGACGACAGCATTCCTTTCTCTTCTAAGGTCTTTCCGTCTTTGGAAAGCTATAGTCTATGTCCACTAGTGATGATTTACTTTCCCCCAATTACGCTAAAGCACGTGGATCACAGCGTCATTGGGGTCCGGTAAAATCAAGGTTTTTAAAATCAGACCGGACCGGTCGATTGAACCGGTCGGACCGATATTCGGTGATGAAAATGGTTCGGTTTATATAAAAAAACAGTTTGAGGTCAAAACCGGTCAAAATTGGTCAAAAACCGATAAAAACCAATAAAAATCAATAAAAACCAGTAAAAACCGGTAAAAACTAGTAAAAACCGATAAAACCGATGGAACCAGAAAAACTACCGGTTCAATTTCTCATGCAATCTTCTTTCAATTTTTTCCAATTTCACCCTTTTCATTCCTTTCTTATACCCATTTTAACCTTTAATTTTAACAAAATTACAAAATTATCAACACCAAATTAAAAAATCCATGCCTGCAGCTTGCTCCTCTCATCAAACCTTCTTTATTGTTTGGATCGATCGGTTCACCGATTCAACCGATTAAACCGATCAAATTAAAAATCAAACTTAAAAACGGTTCAATAACCGATCCGGTTTTAAAAACCTTGGGTAAAATAGACTAATGAAAAAATAAGGACCATAATTGGACTTCCACATTGACGACAGCATTGCTGTCTCTTCTGAGTTCTTTCCGTCTTTGGAAAGCTGTAGCCTATGTCCACTAGTGATAATTTAATTTCCCCCAATTAAGCTAAATGACAGCGTCATCGGGGTCCGGTAAAATAGACTAATTAAAGAAAAAAGACCATAATTGGACTTCCATATTGACGACAGCATCCCTGTCTCTTCTAAGGTCTTTCCGTCTTTGGGAAGCTATAGTCTATGTCCACTAGTGATAATTTAATTACAATGCGGAAACTATGTATTGGTACTGTCTGTGGATAATTTTTTTACAATTTTTATGAATTATCATTATTTATTTTACTTTTTAAGTCCTACAAGAAAGGTTAATAATTTCTTTAAAATCTTTGGCTATCTAATTTAAAACATATTTAATATAACAATTAAAATTTAAAAGATACTAGATGATAAATAATAAAAAAATAAATAGTAAGTGATAAATAATGGATGATAATTAATAAATAATTGTTGATAAATAGTGGAAAGCAAGTAGTAAGGAATTAATAGTAAATTTAATTAATATAATTATTTAATTATATAATAATTAATTATATAAATAATAAAAAAATAAATAGTAAGTGATAAATAATGGATGATAATTAATAAATAATTGTTGATAAATAGTGGAAAGCAAGTAGTAAGGAATT